CATACCTCTTGATTATTCCATGGAGGTTCATATCAGTCCTTGATGTCGACGGTGCACAATTTTATAAAAATCGTGACTTTGATTCGTAGACCACATTTAATTTAATAAAAATAGCTCAACAATATCGCTCTTCAGTATAGTCCGGCTTGCAAGAGACTCCCCTGAGGGGGAGATGATGCAGGCTTATATTGATTTGGCCTGAGAAAAATGTCATGTGATAGATAGACTGTTATTAAAGTTAGAGGTTACTTTAGCAGGTGTGAAGGTCAACAGGTGTTCCCGGGATCATAATAAAGTGACAAAATCAGATGTTAATTGTAAACTTTAAGTCTTGCATTGTGAGAATGAGTGCCTGGATAGGTGAATGTTTACATTAAAGAGGAGAGTTATAACCTTCTATTGTTGTTGATGAGATATTTGATTCCTTTTTTCTGACAATGTTATTTTAAAGGGAAGGTGATAAATTTATTTCAAATATGTCTAAAGTTTAGGTGGAAAGTGAAAAATTAGTTTACACAGGGGTTGGATCTCACAAGAGGGTGTAAATTATAACCTTTATATTAACACACAGTATTACAGAATTTGAAAACAACTTATGACAAGAAATATGTTATTCAAAATTTATGCTATTTTAAGCAAATAAACCAAAAAATAAGTTTCAATAGTAGTTTATTAACGATAGACACTCACAGAACATCGATGGAGACACATTTGATAGTGATGTGGCCTAATGAAGATTTTTGAATAAAGTCAAACATTCGTTATTAAAGAATGTATGTTGGAATTTATGATTGTTCACAGTTCTATTAACAAACACAAGTCACCAAATAAAGTCACCAGCCACCCAAATACTCTTATTACTGTAGAGAAGTTACATTTCATTTGTTAGTGACAATTATAACGCTTCTGAAAACACTAAAAAATTTTGAACAGTATGGTTCACATTTCTACTGTTTCCAGCACAGTCCATTGTTCTCACTTACCCACTGGTAACAGCAAGCAATTGAGACATATACCTAGGGCAGATGAAATTGGGAAAAATACAATTTTTCCATTGCAATTGTATATCAATTTATAAATAATTCTATAGCTACAATTGAGATTATTAGTTTATGATGAGGTATAATTATGTAGAGGAGCTTCCAATCTGGAATCCGAGAAGGTCATAATCTGTCAAAGCATGAAAACAGAACAAAGAAAACAGCTCCACATGGCCTAGGCTTGTGTAAATAGTCACCTATTGGAGGTGAGCTCAAATCAAAGATGGTCATAAAATAAAAGTCTACACACTACTTAAATTCAAGTTACTAGCAGAAAAATTTTGGAAATTTTTCTGCTAGTAACTAATGAGATGTGCACAAAATAGAAGAGGTCACAAAAGAAGGTTTACTGTATTTTACAAAATAAACCATAATTTCTTTATTTTTGATACAAAATAGCAAAAGTGCATTTTAGGTTATATCTTTTTTTGAGTAGGAGTAAATATTCATTTATTATAGATCTCAACAAGTTTCTGATAACCCGACTATATGATCAACTTTGTATAAATACACTACTAAACCATCAGTGAGTTTGTTTCTGCAAATTTGTTAATTACTAATAAAATAGTCATTGTTTTTATTTAAAATGTGATATTTTTGTTATTAAATGAAATTCTTCCATGATCATATTTTTCCAAAATTTTTCAACAAATATCCTTTGCTTAATACAAATATAAACAACCTACAAAACCCAATACATTACAATAAAGTTACACCAACTGCCATATAATTTGGGCTATATATATATATAGCCCAAATTATTATTGCTGATATATATATATAATCAGCAATTCAAATATATATATATCAGCAATAATAATTTTGAATTACTAACTAATTTGACTGTAGAGGAAGGCATTAGGCACATCTCGAAATAAGTTTAATAATTATAATTTAACTAAATAAATAATTTTAGAATAAACTGGAAGAGAAGAATCGGCCCAAAGCGGGACTTGAACCTGCAACTCCTACTTGCTATGCGGATGTTTTGCCAATTATGCTACCTGGACCTTAGGTCCAATCTCCTCTTCCAGGTATATTTAACTTACATCATCACTGGTTATCACAGTGTCAACTGGAGATACATTCAGTGCCCTTGTCTTGTATAAGGCACTTAACTGGCCATTGCATACCCAGCAAAGCATTTATTCTAAAATTATTTATTTAATTAAATTACAGTCAAACCTGTTTGTAAAGGAACCTGCATATAGCGAAAAACATGTCATTAATTTAATGGAAAGTTTCTTCTGTCCCTTGAATTTTTTGCAAAAATTAATGTAAATTAACCTATATATATATAGGAGAACCTGTCTAGAGTGGAAACAAAGGAAAATTGGGCTGTATTACAGAAAAATATCTATCTGATTTAACGAATTTAATTAACAAGAAGTTTACAAGCCTATCATGTATAAATCATAAAAAAGTAAAAAAATACAAACACACATTACAGAATAGCAAAATACAACTACTGTATTACAATAATTTTATTGGGATTTGAATGGAAAGTTTTATTAACAGCTGTTTTTACTTAACATAAATATGTAATGTAATTATAAGTTGTGAAATTTAATACATTATTCCTGATGTGAAATTAGATCTTCAAGAACTTATCTTTAACTTTTTTACATCAAATTTCATTTGAATAAAATAAAGTCAAAATATCTGCAAATAAAATGCAGATTGGGAATGTATGCTTTTTAAGTTTTGTAAAGGATATCATGCTATACAAACAGTAAAAAATACTCATACCATGTATGGGGAAAATTCTTCTAAACTCTGAGTGTTTCAAACATAGTTTTGAAAGTTTCCTTTAGAAATTTTGAACTGAAGGATATGAAATGTACGGGCACCAAAAGCTGTTGAAGAGAAATTACAAGAAGAAATTGTTAAAGATTGACGAATAGCAATTCATGAATTTGCAACAAATCTTAGTGCATCACAGACACACATTGTTGAAACACCTCATCTACTTGAAACAGTTATAAAACATGCTGATGATTGTGTTCTGCATGCTGTTTGTTTTTTTCACTTATGAAGAAAACAAACTGAATTAAATATAATTTTGTTTGACAAAGGTAGGCAGGCAACTGTAACGTTTTATTTTACTTTTCAATTAGTTACTCATTTTTATCTTAGAGAACTTTTTTACGGATGAAGTTCACAGTTGTTGTCCCTTACGGCTCCGTTATAGACAGGTTTAACTATAATTATTAAATTTAATACGAGATGACACCCAATGCCTCCCTCTAGGGACAAATTAATTAGTAATTCAAAATTATTGTTGCTGATACTGTATATAGCCCAATATTATAAGGCAGCTGGTGTAACCTTTGTTTAATACCACAAAACAGCTTAAAAATGATTTCTATGAAATATTTTAGATAAAATTTCTTTCATGATATCAAAATTATTAGCTATTCAGAAAGTGCATATTTTTAAAATAAGATAAAATACAATATTTTCATGTTAAAAGCTACTTTTTCTATTCATCAAAACCATTTCTACCAACATGTAAACTTTTCAAACTCAACTGGTGGTTTGATGATATTTTTTGAAAACTTTTGAGTTTTGATTTGAAGAATGTAACAAGTTGACTTTGCAGAGATTTAATTAAAATTCATTATTAATTTATTATTATTAATCTTAGCATAAGAGAGAAGATTAACTGCCTACTTCTAGGCCAAATTTCATAATTTAACTAACTAATTGGTTCAATTCTAACCCAAAATAATCTAATTTTTACATATGTTTGGCAATTGATTTAAATGTTTCCAAACTTTTTCTTATTAAAAGAAATGTGAAAAAAAATGGATTGTAATTAGATGGTGTAGTAAGTAGAAACTACAACCAAAAATTTCTCAGTTAAACTTCTTGTTAATGTTGCAACATTTTTCCAGGATTTTTTTTCATATTGTATTTATTAAAAATATTCATTTTAACTCAATTACTTGAAAAAATTCAATAATTTGTTGAATTATTTTTTGAATTAATGGTTTTTCTTTCTTCAATTCTTTTTTAATTCACTTAATTAAAAGCAGCATTTTTACATGAAGATTTAAACTGTCATTTTTTTTCTCTACATTATTCATCTATTAACATAACACATGAATTTTTATACAACATAATTATGAGATAGGAAGAATAACTTAATATTCTGAAGCAGCATCTTTCATTATTAAACTATTTCAAGAAGCTAGTAGACTAAAGTTGTGTCATATTCAGAAATGAACTTGAAAGTATATATATTTAAAAAGAAAGCTAAAATTGTATTTAAGAATAGTATCAGATATGAACAAGATCAAAAGCAGGTATTCTTATTAATTAACCAAGAAGATTTTGCAATCATTATTTTAATTAAAAACTTCTGTTGATGATAAAATCAGCAAAAACAGTTACACAAGTGTTGATTTGCAACCCAGTTTAACCAAATTTATAAAAAAATTTTTAAGTATTTTAGTTTTTAAGTACTGTATTTTTCTGCCTTATCAGGATACACTTTTTTGTACCTAAAATGTATCTGAAAATTAAGATGCATCCTCTAAGCTGAAATGGGTCAATTGCTACAAAGAATATTTTTATAAAAAAACAACATGAAAATAAAAAAAATTCAACATGAAAAATGTACGCAATATAACAGTGCATCTTATAAGGCAAAAATATGATAATTTTATTAAATATTAGTTATTAGTATATAACTTTAAATAAGGCTCATAATATAAATTCCTCATACATTTCTTTGTATTTACAACAATTGATTTATAACAGTTTTTAAGCAATGAAGCATTTAAAAAAGTACCTTAAGATGTAAAATTTTGAAGTATGAAGTTAATGTGTGATATCGTATTTTACAAAAATCTAGCTTTGTGAAGTATCAGCATAGTATGTATAAATGCATGTTGAAAAATTTAATCAATATAAATATAAATAAAATGTTTGTAAATACTATTCCAATATACTTACGTTGTTCATCTTCTTCCTGACGTTTCTCGTAATGCAGAAAGTCATCAAAAATAGAAGTAGAATGACGAAAATTATGAATTATCTTCAACACTTGTTTTCCCTTCTCTGGTGGCACTTCTTGCGTATCCCGAGAATTGGTAACTGGCTTGTTTTCATTGTTCTCCAATCGTATATGCCTGAGTTGTAAATTGGGCACATCTTTGACATAAATCCACTTTACTTTGAATTGACCTTTCCATTTATCTTGGGCCCAAACACTAGATGAACAGCTGTAGTCTACAGGTGATGTCATTTTTGCCATACCACAAAAATGTCCTGATCCATTAACACTGAATAATAGATATACAGGGCCTTTTCCCTCTCGTTCACGAAATGCCTGGTCCAATCGCTTATTTCCATGTTCTGTAGAACACCAAATAGAATATTTGATAGAACGATGAATGTCATCTTCTGAATATGATTTAATGATAAAGAATCTTGCATTTTTAGGATTTAAATCAAAATCTTTTGGATTATAGTTATTTTCCATTCGCAATTTATCCAAAACAGGATGTGATGGGAAATTATCTCCCCCAGTATTATGGCTCTGAGCAATTGGAATTGTTTGTTGTTGTTGCTGCTGCTGCTGCTGATGCGGAGAATTATAACCTGGTCCAGATGGTCCACCACTACGAACACCCCTAGGAGCACCCCAGGGAGCTGACCTTGCTTGAGGTGTTGATGGTGGAGGTCCCATCTTTCCACTTCCCGAAGTACTACTGTTTCCACTACTATTGCCATTTTTACTTTCCCAAGTTCCAATATCCATACTAGGAGAATTATGTTTACCAGAAAGCATTGGAGCAGGTGGAATAGATTTTGGTTTCATCTTTGGCTGAGGTTTTGCAGGTTGACTGGCAATTGAAGCCCATGTTTTTTTGGAGCCAACAGGCTGTCCTGATCCACTTGTCCCAGCATTTGACATTGAAAGAGAGTCTGTTGGAGGAGATACAAATTTCTTCCCCAGCTGATGGTCATTCATTACATTGCCAGAGCCTGGTGCCACTCCTTTTGAATAAGCATCTTTTGTAAATTGATTATCACCTTTATGTTCATTTAAGGAAAGTCCACCCATTCCTTGTTCTACATGTTTTAAACCACCTCGATCCATTCCTTGATCATAGGAATCCCTATAATATTCATCATGATATGCTCCATGACTGCCAGTTTTACGAGAACCACCCATGCTAGAATTTCCCCACGCAGAATAATCACCACTGCTACCTGGAAAAAAATTAAATCCTTGGTTGTAGCCACTAAATCCACTCTGACCAAACATGCCATCCATGTAATGAGAATGTTGGTCTCCACTACCCATCTGTCCACCATAACCTCCAAGAAAAGTCATTGGATCACCACCATTACTCCATGCTCCATCTAAGCCTTGATTCAAGTAAGGAAATGACATTGAAGCATAATAGCTTGGCATATAATCTGCCATACTTGAAGAAGACAATGGTGGATTATATGTCTGCAATAAAAAAAATAAAGGCAATTATAAAAAAATTAATTTATAATTCAATTCAGAATATGATAAATTACAGGAAATTCTTATCCAACACAATAGTTACATTGCACAGAAACCACATTAAGAGCAATTTTCAATATCATGGAGGAAAATATGGCTTTATGATAAAAATATAAAATAGAAATGTTGGTATCTATTTTTATTTTCTATTTCTATTTTTAAAATAAAAAAAATGAGTAGGGGAAAAAAACCATTTTTGAAGTTAAGTATTTAAATTATGAAAAAACATATCTAAAAAAACAGTTAAACAAAATTAAAAATGAATGAAAACTGAATAATTGAACATATTTTAAATATACTGAGGTTTCATGAAGGTATGAACTGTTTAATAATGTATAAACAATAATAATTATTTGGAAAGTGAAGTTATTTCTCACATTGTCATTATTGTTCAAATAAACTTTTCTTATTTCTCTTTACTTGATTAAAAAAAATGTTTTTAACTGCATACAACAAAATCTTGATGTATTTATTATTATTATTTTTTTATTTAAATACACTTTGGCATGTCAGCCTTTTTCAACGTGCATAATAAAAAGTTACAAAAGAAAAACACAAACATGTACAAATTTGCATTGGACAAGCCTTTCCTATATTAGCAATTCCATTTCTATAATTATTATTATAAATCAATTTGATATTATTATTGATATACATTATAAAAAATGATAGTTTCTGATAAATATCAAATATTTGTTATAATTAGCAAAAGAATTAAAACACAGTTTATACTGTTGTCCAGAACTTAAAAACATATGTTGTCATACCACTAAATTATTAAAAAAACATACCAATTGATAAAATATGGTATTAATATAGTATTCAAAATTTATATAAATATCTCAACAGATAAACTTAACATACAACAATTATGCAAACAAATGTATCAAATACATTTCACATTCAGGAAATACATATTTTTAAGATCTGTGTCACATCTATGAATATGATATCTAGGACTAATAGCACCAGAAAATCTTAATAAGTTTCAAGAATTTCATTTCTATTAATGACACATTAGATTACTTCAATCAAAAATGTATAGAGCAGTGGTTCTCAACCTTGTTAATGCCACGACCCTTTAATATAGTTCCTTGTGTTGTGGTGACCCTCAATGATAAAATTATTTTCGTTACTACTTCATAACTTTTAAACGAAGATCTTTTAAACCAATGGCAACTCAACTGGGACTGCAAACATAATGACACGACTTTTAAATTCATACCTAACATCAAGGAATATCATAATAAATATAAATGGGTAATTCCAAGTTTCCCCCTTACTCAATTTCTTACCGGACATGGCAAATTTTCAAATTATCTACATCAATTTGTGAATAAGCAAAATGATCTGTGTGCCATATGCGGACAACCGGACAGTGTCGACCATTATCTTTTTACCTGTATTTCTCTTGAAAGAGAACATTTAGAAATAAAAACCATTGCTCATAGATATAACCTCAACTGGCCATGCAAACATGAAGATCTCATAAAAAATAAATAAATTTTTTCTTCCTTTCTTCTACTAGTTAAACGCCATGAGACTATAGCAACCTACGCAACTAGGGAATAATTCTTGATTTCAATCACTTTTATCTTACTTGATGAACTTGTTTATTTTCTTGAAAACTTCTTGTTGTCTTGTTCTTTTATTCGGTTTTTGAAAGTCCTATTATTATTGTTGGATTCGCTATATTCAACATAGTTTTGAGTTTAACTCTCTTGCATTTTCTGTCGTCAATTGTTAACGACCCTTTTCTTACATTTGCCACTTTGCTGAATTGTCAGAGGACTTGACAAATAAAAACGTTTTACTACCATATAAAGGCTTCGATGGATACATGATTATTAAAAACATTCAACATACTTTGATCACTATGCCTTATCTATGACCTTTGTGTTCAGTCAACGTGTTAATTATCTTCATAATAATCGAATACATAACTCATCACAGTCAGTTCGCAAGAAGAATTGCAAAGTCTCCTGCCCAAATAAATTGCTTCAGTGCAGAATCATGGATGTCTTATACACATTGTCTCTGACGTAGATACGTGAATTAACATCTTGGACACATTGTCTGTACTGCAGACACATGACTTTTACAAAAGACGTGTGGATTATGGATATCTTGAAAACATTGTTTGAGCTGTAGACAGGTGACCTTAATTGAACCTTGTGTCCTTATTCTAAACCGTTTGCTTTCTCTGCACCTCTGCTGCAATGTGTGTTTTCTCCATTTGAGAAAGGACATGACATTTGGATACAGCCTATGTGCTGTAACGATAGAGACATGCTAGGCAATTATCTGAGCCCATCTTATAGTAATAATCAATGCCTACTGCAAGTCTAAGGAAACTTTGCATTGATGTGATTGGATAAGAATACGCCGTTGGATTAGAAAAGCAGTGTTCAACTTTGTGACTTGGCTCCGTAAACTTTTGCTGGTTGATAGTCTGAGTGATCTAAACATCTGTGTGATAAGAATACACCATCCAATCAGGAAAATATTGTGCAACATGCAACTTGGTTCCATAAACTAGTGATGGTCAATAGTCTGTGCTATCTAAACATCTGTTATGAACTATACACGGCTTCAACATTGATGAGCTTCGACAAAACTTACCAACAAACTAGAAAAACTGTGCTGTAGACACTCGGCCTCATAAGATTTCATAACACTCTGTATTACGATTAGAATACAACACGCTCAGTTTATTGTTATATAGTGTAAGTTTAGTTTTAAGATAGTCATAAGTTTAGTTTTAAGTTAGTTTTAGTTAATTTTCGTTCACCTCTATTTTATCTTATGTACTTTCTTTTTAATAACCTGCATGACAAGCTGTAAGTTTATATCTATATTGGTACACCCAACACCTGTATAACCATTTCTATTCATCACCACGGTATCGATTTGTAAAATTCATACAGATATTGTACAACTTCTTTACTTTGTCTTCCTACAATTTGTCAAGCGGTTTTATCATTTGTAAATTATACTTTCATATAAAAAATTGTATATATATTTCTCAGCTATGTATAATACGGTACTGGGAATGCACCTGCAAGGTGCCTAATAAAGAATAAGTAAGTAAGTAAGTACTACTTCATAACTATAATTTTGCTACTGTTATGAATCATAATATAAATATCTGATATGCAGAATATATTTTCATTGTTACAAATTGAACATAATTAAAGCATAGTGATTATTCACAAAAGCAATATGTAATTATTGTGAAATATTTATTTCTAATTACAAATAAATGAAATTTTGACTTTAAGCATGGTGTAGCATGGGTAACAATCTTAATATAACAATAAACTACATTGCTATATTTTGCAACAGATTGCATAAAAGCCTACGTCAGCGCGAAGGTTGAGATTCCTTCTTTCCCACCAGATCAGAAATTCTCAGGGAAGTCTTTGCAAGAGCACAATGTAGATTACCTTCCACAACAATTCTACTTCTGTATTTAGACTTGATAACCAACAAGCTGGAAAATCCTGTTTCACAAAAATATGTTGTTGGAAATGGAAGAAGAAGGCACAACACAGTCTCAGACAGAACAGGATATTACCAAGCACTTGATCCAGAATTTTGTAACTAGCACTGTAGGGAAATCAGTTCTCGATGCATCACTGTTAATACGTTCAATGAACTCCTCATGCTGTCTCAGGAACATCTTCAACTTTGACCATGAATGGGCTTCTGGCAAGTGCAAATGAGGTGCCAGGTAGATTTGGAAAGTACAATGAAATTTTGTCTAAGCACTTGCAAGTGTTCTTTCACAGAAATTATCATTGTAATCCTTTTGTCTGGTTCAATGCCATGTTCCTCAAAGAAAGCAGATAAGGTAGGTAACATGTAAATTTTATTTTCATCCAATTTTTTTTTTTTGCCAAAGCTGAAGTTTCATTTGGAATGATCAGAGCTTTTCAGACAGATCGAGACATGTTGCATTTGGTCATTGCAGTGTTAAATTTAACTCATTCAAGATGACAAAGATGTCAACCAAGTAAGCTATTTTCTGCAGTTCACTTTTATCGCTGAAAAGTGCTTCAAACTGCGATCTTGCTTTCTGATTAAAAACATTTTGAGTTCATCACAAAGCTCAAAAACACATTTTAAAACTTTTCCTCGCGACAAAGATCTCACTTCAGTGTGAAATAGCAGAGCATTGTTCGGCACATCCAACTCGTTGCACAATTCCGAAAACAGTTGACTGTTTAAAATGCTCGCGTTTACAAAATTGACAGAATTTATGATGCTTTTCATTACTTCTCGTAAGTCTTGTGGCAGCATCTCGTTGCTAATATTTGCTGATGAATCATACAGTGAGTTCCAATGACTTTTGGTGACTCATTTAGTACCAAATGTTGAAATCCAAGGAGTGGTGTCTTGGTTCCCAAGACCATCGGAAATATGTGTTTTTGGATGGTCTTAGGCAACTCCTGTGAAAAGATCGTTTGTCCCCCAAGAGATTGCAACCCACCAGTTGAGAACCACTTGTATAGAGCATCTGTAATTTTTCATAGTATCTTCTAACACTATCAAAATGACATTGATCTTTTCCCAAGTAAAGGAAATTAAATCAAATCTTACATTTTCTTAGGACAATAGTTTGATCAGATTAGTTTTAATTAAGCATTTTTCAAATTAAGGTAAATATTTATTCTTTTACCTGTAAATGTATTAAACCATATTAATTGAAAATATTAACTTTTTAATTCAGTTCATAACATAGTGTTTGATTTTCTGGAAAAAACAAACAAAAGAATATTCAAATAGCTCTTCAAGTTGAGCTGTTTCTAGTCCAGCAGGGGTTCCTAATATTTTTTGCTTCTCAGTTCCATTCCAAAATCAGATTTAATTCACTGATCTCTTTTATAGAAAGGGATACAAAATAAGAATAAATTGCAAATAGAATGAAATATAAGAAATCA